AAACAAACTTTTGTTTGGAACTTTTGTAACAACTTATGACTGTTTTTGTATATCAAAGTTGATTCTTTTCAAAATATTTGGATCTAGTTTCTAAGTTATTTTAGTGTTTTATATGTTATGAAAAATTACGTTGCATTGTTCACCAGCATAATGAGTTACCTGGAATGCAATGGTGACGCGCCGAATGGGCTGAGAGCTACCTGGAGTAGCTCATAAGGCCCCTATTTTTTTCCTTCCTTCTAACTTGATTATTGATTACAATAATATTGCAAATTACCTGAAACCCCCTTCCTTTTAACTAGATCCTCCTTCCTTCCACATTTAATTGCTATTAGTGTGAAGAAACTGTTGAAATGGGCATTTTAATATAAGTACGGCTTAAAAAAGATAAAAATGAGGAAAAAGCGAAAAAAAAAATTCTATAGAAGGTTATCTGTGGGTCTGTGAGATATGGCTGTGGAAAGATATTGTAGTAGTTTTAACACTATTGTTATTACCTTTTAAATCATTTACCCAATAAAATAAGGAAAAAGAATCGCCATTCCTTGTTCATGTTTCTTTACTTTGCGTGAACTGTTTTGCAGTTGGGTTCCAGTAAGGACTTGGGACAAAAGTTACTTGTCTGGATATGTGCAGATTGTACCGTCTCTGTGGTAAGTCTAGAGTCACCCTGCTATACTGGTAGAAGTTGTCAGCATTTCAATTTCAATTCTCGGCTCAGATCTGAGAATAACTGTCTTCTTGACTTTAAACACCTTGAATCCCCTTCCACTCTTTTCAACAAGCTTGTGCAAAACCAGTCCTACTGGTATGACTGGCAGTGCTCTTTCTCCTTTCATTTAATACGTTTTAGGAACACATGCCTCAGTGTCGAGCAATATAAAGCTGAATAAAGAAATACACACAGCAAAGCGAGTACTCTGCTGCATCTGAAATATTTCCTAAAGTAATTAATGCTACTTTGTTTGAGTTGGTTTCCTAGTTCTTTACGAGGTTGATTTTCACAGTGTAGTGCAAGATGTACCAGGTAAAGCTTAAACCGTTTGGTCATGTTCCATGGCTGAGAGAGGAGGTGGGGAGGTGTGTACACATGAGTTGTGGAAACAAGCAACCATCTGTGCTTCAAGACTGTGCAAGTAAATGTAGAGTTCCTGTACAAATGATGTTTCTCTGTGCTCTACAAGCTTGCCCAGTTACCTTTGTAGTTTCTAAACTTTGGCACCTGCTTATTCGTGCCTCACTAAAAGTGCTTAGCTTAGTTCAATTCCAGGCAAGGTGGTCAGCTCACAAATTCTGACAGCAGCTTGCCTCTGAAACCCAAGGAAGAACTTCTCTGGCGTACTTGCACTTTAGATTTAACTTTTTAAATTTTATCCTTGAACTAAACCAGGGATATACTTTTACTACTGAAGCAGAAAGTTTGATTACTTACAAGTCATGCTCATTGTGTGCAGACTCTTTCCTAAATCCCCATTAAGGGCAGTCTGTTCTAAACAATTGGCAACATAAGGTAGGTACACTGAATATTTGAGCTCAAGAGCAGTCCCCCCAAGTCAAATGATTAAGTTGAACAACGAACACCGACAAAAGGTATTTGTTCTTGCTCCAGAACCTGACAGATTTTTACCTTTCCCAATATGAATAGTCCATAAGGTTTATGTACTTCCTGTTCTAATTTGGGCTTTTCAAAGGACAGAGAGAAATTAGATGGCCTTGGTTCACAGAGAGCAACAATCAAGGGAAATGAAAGTTCCTCAAAATGGGTTTGACTGAATTTATCTGCTGAAGTCCTAGGTCATAGGAGCTCTGAAACATGTTCATGCTTTGTCTAATCCTTTCTTCATACTCTCTGGATGCCTTGCTAAGAGAGATGTAGAATATTTCTTCTGTGCTTAACTCTTAGCAAGTTTATGGGCACTAATGTGGGCACCCTTGTTTGTCTGGAATATTTGTGTGTAATTTTTCCCAGGTGATGCAATTCTCAGGCTTTCACCAATTTTTGTCCCCATAAAACTGGTTCAACTAGAAAAAATGTCTATGTAATCGCATGGTCTTGCTCTGCTGCAGCTAAAACTAGAATCTAATTCTTGCTTCAGTTTTGTAAATCCATTCAAATTCTGTTTACATAAAATTAATCCTTGACAAGAACCGGATATGGCTTTAGGAATAGTTGAGTGATCTGGGAAAAAGTTTCCATACTTTGCCAGATGGGTAAGTTCAGTCAGTTTGGTAGGCTTGAGGGATTCCCCACATTTTAGGAGGGCTCACTCGATAGGCTTGTGGCCACTTCCTGGTGGAACAAATAGGGCATTTATACACATGCAGGGAGGCTAATCCAACGCGTTGGAGCAGACTTGATCAATCAAGTCTGCTCGAGTGTGGAAATGTGCATAGCGTCCCCATCCTGAAAAATGGCGGTGGGACACTGAACTAAAGCTCATTGAATGAACTTTGGTTCAAAGTGCCTCACTGCCATTCTTTCAGCACAGGGACACTGATACCTGAGCATTACACATGCTTTTAATTAGTATGGCTTGCTAATTAAAGCACCCTCCCCTGCCACCCGGAGCACATAAATGAAGCACTATGGACATTTATATAAGTGGATTTTTTGTTGCTAGTTGGTTTACAGCTGAGAGAATATGCTGAAAACTTGTTTAAAAAAGTGTGCTTTTTCATAAGACTACTGAGGTTCTATGGTTTTCCTCCATTAAAGCCCTTCAGACAGTAAGCAAAGAGAGGAAAAGATTAATGAACAGGATGGGGGGGGGGG